CGTGGGGGCGCGCTCATGTGATTGGCTTAGAATTGAGGAGACATCTGATTGGCTATAGATAGAAAAAATTACAAGTACGAATCGGGTGACCGTCAGGGGAGTCTCAAAAAACCCACACACGAATGCACAGCGATCCATGCACAGAAAGTGGTTTGTGTTTGCAGGTGCAGCGGTTTTAAACGGAAAACAAATATGTGAGGATCAAAAATACATATGTAAAACTTTTTTCTGTATTTTGATTTTATTTACATGTATATGAAACGGAACACATTTGTGTGTGCATTGAAAAACACAAGTGTGGATCCGGAAATACAAGTGTGAATCCTTTTGCGGATCATGAAATACAAGTGTGAATCCTTCTGTGTGCATGTGTGTATTATGAGACTGTTCTGAGCCCATAAATTATTGGTGGCTGTCGGATTTTTGTTTTTACCAGTCAACAAACATATTAACAGCATGGAAAGGAACAAAATACGTAGGTTGTGTGATGTCTTTAAAAATACTGCACCTTAAAAGTAATATTTACATTTAAATGTTTTCTTTTCCTTGTCACTGGCAGACTGTATTTAACAAAGACCATCCTTACCCAGGACTATACTTAAGTACAATTTTGAGGTAGTTGTACTTTACTTTAGTATTTCCATTTAATGCCACTTTATACTTCTTCTCCACGATATTCAAAGGGGAAATAATGTAATGTTCCTCCACTACACTTATTTAACAACTTAAATTACTTTGAACAAAATGCATCTCTACTAGTTACTCTTTAAGTCACAAAAGGGTCAAATTATTTAAATATTTTACAAAACGTAAATCCGAACTTTCTTTGTCGACAACAATAAAGGTCAATTTTCTGCACAATGATTACTTTTTAAATATGTTAAAGTATTTTTACAATAATAAATTGGCACTTTTATTCAAGTAAAGCATCTGAATACTTCTTCCACCACTGTTGAATTGTCTTGAAATGGGCTCATAGGCGTTGGTTTGGTTCTGCTTTGTTCTTGACTGTCCAACAATACCCAACAGATCCAGTAGGTGGTGGTAACATGCCTGCTATGTTCAGATTAGAAGAAGAAACTACTCACGACTGCAAATTCTGTAATGCGACATGTCGAAAAGCAAGCCAGATGAAATGCGGCACTACTGAGCAACAATACTACTTGATGTTGTTTAGTTGTTGTTAAAAGAGAAACTGTCACACCAGGCGTTTACCCAGTAAGTGTAAAGCAGTCACTGTCTTTCTTTGTAATATAACTTCCCAATTTGACGCGTTTTCTACTGAAACACATGTTTAAACTGTTAGAAAAACTAATAATAATTGGGGGTTTTCTCTGTGAAACAAGGAACTTCACATTCTGTTGCAGCGGGTCTGTCTAGTGATCCTGCCTTTTTAAAAAAACGATGCTGGTCACCGTTTTCTGTGCGCCGAGGGATAGCCCAGAAACCACCTTCGGCCTCGATGTTTCCCCAGAGCTGGAGCTCAGAGACTTTATAGCACTTTGTGAACTGGAATCAGGAATCCCAGCTGGGGAAATCCAGGTAAGAGCCAGGCTAGCTGTAGCCAGAGAGCTAACGTAGCTAAGAGCTAGCTAGCTGACTGGCTAGCATGAATCGGACGTTTGCTGTTTTGATGGACGGTGTGTTGCGAAACGTCATTTATCAACAACACACATGACACCGATATGTGCCTCCAAGGGTTATTTGTATGTTTTTCCAGCAGTTGGTAACAAACAGAAGGCTTTAGCTGAGGGTGAAAGTAAAACTAAATAAGCTAGCTGCTGTCAACTGGTAGAAAGATTGAGGCTAACTGTTACACGAAGTTAACAAAACCATCTGCTTTCTTTTCTCTTATCGAGACACATTGTGCTCCAGTAATGTTAGAGTACCAAACACTTTATTATATTATTTTTTTCCAAGCTAAAGGCTGACATTTGTTTATAGTTGGCATGTGTACAATCTGAAAACAATAAGAGTTCATTATAACACAACACATCACGCCAAGACGGGACACATTAAAACACATTTAAATAAAGAAAAGAAGATGGGGAGCTACATTAAAAGGAGCACTGACTGAATCCTGTACCAAGGAGGGTGTCCTTGTTAATATATATATTGATACGATGTTCTAAAGATGTAGCTAGATACCTGAAATGATTAGGTATCAGTTGAATACTTGATTGGTCGTGTCAGTTCACAGAAATGTAATCTTCAACAGTTTTGATAATGAGACCATTCTCAACTGAAAACGTGAAATGTTCTCTGATTTCACTTTCTAAAGTGATGATTTGCTTCCTTTTTTTGAACATGTTGTAACATGTACAGACTCTAAATTGTGGTAGATAACAGGCTTCAAAATTCACTTTCCTTTCTTAATTAAAACAGCTTGGTCTGTTATGAATTTCTTTTAGGGGAATGCTGAAAACAGATGCAATGATAGCTATTCAAATAACGTTGTACATCTGGCTTGTAAAGTAGTTGTTGAAGTCAGACCGACCACTGAAATGTTTAGCCAGTGGAAATATATATTATATACAGTCAAGTGTACTTGCTAAAAAGAGTTTGCAAATGGACCTAATGACTGCATTATTTTTTAACAATTGTACAATTTGAAATAATAAAATATATTTTCTGTGTTGGGTATGCTTAGCTAATTCAGTTGTGTATTTTATAATATAATACAATATCATTACATTCAACCAAAACAATAACCTGTATCTTTTGTGCGATGATATAAATTTGAATTCTGTATTTTTCCGTAAACAGGTCACATATATAGAACAGACCCTAAAAGACCCAACTCGTGCCTTGGGGACATATGGTGTTAAGGATGGAGATGTGGTGGTTCTCAGGCAAGTTGACAGAAGGCCACCACCAAGTCAGCCAGCCTTTCCAGGTAAGACACGTTTGTTGAAATTATAAGAAAGCTTTAAAGAGGTGCAGGAATTACATGTTGGTGTAGGTCTAACCCTGAAGATAGCATGAAGATAGCATCATAACAGCTCCTCAGACAAAGAGCAAACTATTTTTCAGTTAGATTTCAGAATATTATAGTAAATTAACTCAGACGTTTTGTTAAGCAGGACATTTTGATCATTTATGAATTGTGAATGCTATCGCCAGAAGTACATTTATAACGTTTGGCTAAAAACAAACAACATCACGATTGTATGACTTCACGCCACCACCTCAAAGCTAAAGGTGGACTCCTGTTCAGCGTGCTGACATTTAATAGTCTCATGTAGTTACTTATTTGAAACCGCCTCTTTTATGATGCGATGAAGCTTTAGCCATTTACCAATTGGGTATTTACTTAAATATTTGATGTCTAAACAAACATAAAAGTATCTTAGGCATGTGCGAACTATGGACCTTATTTCAGGCAACTAACCAAAAACCCTTTTTTAAAAAAAAGCATTGACCCGGCCAAAAAACATTAAAGTTGGAAAAAAAGGGTTATCATATCTAGGGACACAAAAAGGAAACACCCGTAAACTAACTACAGCAAAGATGTATGCATCAACTATAATCATTAATGTCAGTTTGTGTCCATGTAAAGTGCTTACCTCTCACTCTGTATCTCTTGTGCTCCTAAGGTCTGCCCCATATTGACTTTCGTTCCATCACAATCCCCGGCACCTCATCTTCTTCTGGTCAGCGTGGTGCCATAAGGCCGCAGCAGCAACAGGCTTCACAGCCGCAGCCTCAACAGCAGCCGCAGCGCGCCTCACAATCTTCTACGTCCTCTCCTCAGGGGATGGATGACCCTGCCTTACTCCAGCAGATGCTATTATCCAATCCACACGAGCTTTCACTCCTTAAGGAGCGAAACCCGCCACTTGCCGATGCCCTGCTGAGCGGAGATATTGGTAAACAAAAGAGCAGATTATGACACGTGCCACAATCTCTGTTTATGTTTTTTTTACATTATCAGATCTAAACCAGTTATGTCATTGTATATTCCCATCTCCTCAGAGCGTTTCACCAAAGTGCTGCTGGAGCAACAGCAGGATCGAGCCAAGAGAGAGCAAGAGAGGATCAGACTTCTGACTGCTGATCCTTTTGATATTGATGCCCAAGCAAAGATTGCGGAGGACATCAGGTATGGTGCAGAACATTTAGATTTATAACACACAAAACCCCTTGTCTCCAGCATCGTGCAGCTCAGTTTTACTGCAATATAATGTTATTATTCCTTTTTATTATTGGAATGTACTATTTAGAGATAGCATAAGGCAAAGCAGCTTAGTCATTAACATGAGAAGCATGTTTTCAGTCTTTATAATAATGCAAACCATGTACCTTTGTGTTTTTGCATATTCCAGGCAGCACAATGTTGAAGAAAACATGACCATTGCAATGGAGGAGGCCCCAGAAAGCTTTGGGCAGGTGGTTATGCTCTACATTAACTGCAAAGCCAATGGACACCCTGTGAAAGCTTTTGTTGACTCAGGTAATAAGCATTACATCCTGATCCTATCTGTTGTACTTTAACAGGTTCAACTTGCTATGTCGTGTTTTAGTTTTGGTTTGTGGCCTGACAGATAAAAAAGTATAAAGTTCTCTGATTTGCAAAAACATCAGTATCTGCATTTACTGTGCTCAAATAAAAGACTGATTGAGAATGTGTTTTTTGTGATCAAAGTAATAATTTGATCTGATCATGCTGTCCGCTTGTGAACGGATCACCGAACGATGGACTGGATTTTCACTGCATTGTATCGCCTCTTCATTACATTACATTACATGTCACTTGTTAGACGCTTTTATCGAAAGCGACTTACATACTCAATACTGTGGGCAATCCCCACAGGAGCAATTTGGGGTGAAGTGTCTTGCCCAGGGACACAACGACATGCTGACTGCAGTGGGGTTTGAACCTGTGACCCCCTGATCCGAACACCAACGAGCAACCCACTGCACCACACGCCTCCCATCTTCCTTGCACAGGCCTTTTTTATTCCTTGATTCGATTTTGCCATTGTTTTGTTTTTAGGAGCCCAGATGACCATCATGAGCCAAGCATGTGCTGAGCGCTGTAACATCATGAGGCTGGTGGACCGTCGCTGGGCCGGGATCGCAAAGGGCGTGGGCACCCAGAAGATCATTGGAAGAGTTCATTTGGGTGCGTTTTTTTAAGTGTATTGAAAGAGTAGTTTCCATAAGAAGAAAAAAACGTAAGGTGTGTTATTTCAATTTGTGCAGTCATACAAACTCCTCCTGCTGTTTGAAAATGTGCTGTATGGTTATAAAGCCTAGCTTAGCAGAATTACCGGATGTCTTTGAGTCAACTTCCTATCTACTCTCAGACATAGTTATAGCTTCAAATAAGTACTGACGAGGAGCTTACTGTTAGGCAGTGTGTGGTTATAAAATGGCTTTGTAACAAAATGGTTGACAAATAACACTAATTAACACTAAAACTAGCTAACCTAACCATTTTCTAAACCTTTTCTTTTAACTGTATGCAGAGATATAAAACGGTGTCTAAGATGGTCTGACTGGGTAGTTAGAATAATGTTTCCAAACTGGATCTATTTCTTTGAACTGCATCCATGTTAAAGTCTCTGAATAAAATGTCGGGGTAGTTTATATTGTGTTCTGTTGTTGCACTCATGTAGCTCAGGTCCAGATAGAGGGCATCTTCCTCCCTTGTTCTTTCTCCATCTTGGAGGACCAGCCAATGGACATGCTGCTTGGCCTGGATATGCTGAAGAGACATCAGGTGCGAGCCCCTTTTTTAATTTGTGCTTAGTCTGCAGTATGCTACAGGAATGAATCACACAATTCAGGGATTTCCATTTTATTTTATTTTATATTATGAACTATATCCGTGAGCATATGTTTTCGTGTTTTCTTGTAGTGTTCGATCGACCTGAAGAGGAACTTGCTTCTGATAGGCACCACAAACACTGAGACTAGCTTCCTGTCTGAGGCGGAGCTGCCAGAGTGCGCCCGGCTGGCATACGGACCAGAGAGCCGTGAAGACAACCGTCCAGATGAGACAGGAGACAGAGAACTGGCGGAGGCTCTTCAGAGGTCCATACAGGAAAGCGGTAAGAAACAGCCGCCCATCTCTGCTCTTTGGCCTGTGTTTCATTGGGCTGGTTTCAGCTAAGTTAGAACCATCTCTGCTCTTTGGCCTGTGTTTCATTGGGCTGGTTTCAGCTAAGTTAGAACCATCTCTGCTCTTTGGCCTGTGTTTCATTAGGCTGGTTTCAGCTAAGTTAGAACCATCTCTGCATGCGCCATTTAAAGCTTTTTACTCTCAACCCCATCTATGCAGTCATCTGAATTTCCAGTCACATGATCACTTCATGTCATCACCTCAGCAAATGACATGTGCTATAGAATATAATGGCGTCAGGAAATTGAGAGATGTCTGTCAGCAAAATATAAGCATTTATGAGAAAAACTATAAATGAGTTCCTGGCTAAGATCAAGCTTTTTAGGCTTAAAGGGAAACACTCGTGACTAGGGTTGTTAAGTAACCTTGGGCTGCTATGTGAACGGAACTTCAAGCCGCATTTATATTACGATTAGAAACCATTTGTATATGGTCGTTACTGAGTTGCATATGATGATGAATTTGGCTAATACTCCACTAGTTTTGAGTTGCCCTGTATGGGTATGATGTTGTAGTTTTAACTGTTGACAGAAGCCTTGGAAAAAACACTTAAAGCACCAATGGCTCCAATGCGTAATGGAGCCATTGGTGCTAAACCACAGTAAAGTGTGGGCTAATGCAGTATCGCAGCACTGAGCATCACATTGTGTTGTCTGAAGGAGTGAGAGATCAGCACTTAAAGCTTCCTGCAAAGACAAACTAAAAATGACATCCTGGGCCAAGATACTCATAGATAGTTATCATTATGAAATACATAGTAAATATTCTTATTCAAAACATAATCACAAAAGTGTTTCCCTTTTAATGCCAGTCATGACCAGTAATGGCTGCACATTGCAAATGGATTCACACAAAAAGCAGCGTTAGTAGAGTTACATTGGATTCTCTTCCGTACAGCAGCCATGTTGTGGAATGAGGCATCCATCTAGAGATAAGAGGAATCGATCAGCTGTTGAAGCAATTTGATTCATTTCGTGACTAATGGTTTCTGACCAAATGTCCTACTGATGTAACTGAGTTTTCTGAGGTTCAGTGACGGGTTATGTGATTACTCTGTGTGTTAGAACAAAGGCTCACGTTTTTTTTGGATGACACTTTTCACATCTGTGTGTGAAAAGGCTGATAGGTTGGTGCATGCTCTGTGTGTGACTGCTAACTTTCTCCATCCCTTTGCATGATGTGTGTGGTGTGGCTCTAACCCTGAGCAGGACAGCACTGATGCATTTGGAGACAGCTGGAGAGGGCCCTACCAACCAGGTACTGCAACTTCATAAATCCATTGCGAGGCTAAGCCCATTGCTATGTGTGTCTTTTATTTTTGCTGTTATTTTGCTGCTGGATTGTTTAATTGATGTTGTACATTTGTTTCAATGTCTGTATGTATTTATTCTGGATACATATAACTGTAAAAATTAAGTAGGAAAAAAAAGAAAGTGTCAACCACTTAATATGCAGCGAGTCTTGATAATTACTTTTTCGACATATCATTAATTAACATGGTCTCGATAAAAAAAAAAAGTTGTCATGTCGCCAACATTTAAACCAACATAAATAGGAATAAACAGCAGTCTTTAAGCATTTTTTGAAAAAATAATTTTAATTGAGAGTCTAGTCTTTTTTTGTTTTATTTAATTAGTATATTTAAAAAATGTTCACATTCCAATTCTGAATGAAAATTATTAGAAATTAAATTGTATTGTTCTTTGAAAGGCTTTACTCCCATTAGTATGCTGTTATCAACATATCAGTGGCATTAAATGGTCCTAAAGAATAATAGTTATATTAATCGCAAATTATGGGATAATATGTAGTCCAGCAAAATGAGTTATCATGACACGTCTAGCGGGTATTCAAGAAATGTCAGCAAGGAAATGTTTGTTTTAGTTGTTTCCTTAGTATCCAAAGTAATACCTCCAGGCTGGTTCACTGTTTCATTCCAAGTTGTATCTTCTCTTACAATAGACACTGCAGATGGACAAACTACCTCACCACAGCCCCCCCCACCATTAACATTACCCAGAACCTTAGACCAAAGGTCCTCATCCCCCTCACCTTCTTCTGGCCCGACCCAAACCCTGGGCCGCTCTCAGTCTGCCCCGGTCGCCTTGGAGCAGGCCTCAGTACCAGGGCTGATCCAGGACCAGCCTGTCCCCCAGGATCCTCCTCAGCCGGCGTCCTCAGCAGAGGATGCTGGTCCTTCACCTCATCAGGTCCCCCCTCCCTCTCTGCCTGTCCAAAGCAACCCCAGGGTGACCCCAGTACCCTGTCCCTCAACATACGTCCACCGTTCACCTCCTGCGGACATGACTACAGCATCCCAGGGTCCGGAGGGGGGGGCTGAATCAGATGAGGTGATGAGCAGCCCAGTGCTCCCCCATGCAGAGGAACTTTCCCCAACTCAACCCATGGAGCAGGAGGCGACGGGGGGTGACACCTCTGATGCCCCAGAACCCTGTCCGAGTGCTATTAACCAACCAGTGGACTCGGTGGAGATGGAGTCCCCCCCCGCCTCCCAGGGTGTGGCGTCCCCCGAGAGGGACCAGCCCGAAGGAGAGCACGGCTCCGGGAACATCCCCTCCCTGGCGGCCGCTCTGATGGAGCTCCATGAGCTGCTGGTGTCCAACAACCGCGCTCAGTCCCAGAACCGCAGCACCTCCTGCTCCCCCTCACATCCATTCACCCAGGAAACAGACCACCCCGAGCCACGCCCCCCAACCCCCGAAGACCCCCCCCGGATCCCCTCTACTGCCATCCCAGCCGGTGCAGAACCAAGCAAGGCCAAAGCCCACCATGCTGCTGCTGCTGTGTCTGATGAGGGACCCTCTAAGGGTCTCGCGCCTGTCCTCTCTGAACAGGAGGAGCGTCTGGATGGGGACACATTGGAGACTGCGGTGGGACAAAAACCCCTGCTGCGTCCAGAGAGGAGGGCAGATAAATGTGGGCGAGCTGAAGTGAATAACATCAGCAGTTTTCAGACTGAGCCAGAGGATCCTCCCGACCCCACAGGGGACCTGGAGGTCAGGGAGCCCCCGGAGGGCCAGCAGGGGAGGGGGGTCGCAGACGGACGGGCCTCTGGCACCAACACCCCAGACTCTCTCGGCCTCCAGACTGAGCACACTTTCCTCAGCCCTCTATCCATGGCAGTGGGCTCACCTGAGGAAGTCTCAAGCACCGCAACCCTCTCCTCCCCTCCTCTTGCCCCCCAGCTGACATCTCCGGCCCCTCCTGTCCCTTCTCCACATCCTTTAAGAGAACAATTTCCATCTGAACACATCCAGAGGATCCAGGCAGCAGGGTTTTCTGCCCGGGAGGCCGCAGAGGCGCTGGAACAAGCCCAGGGGGTCGTGGAGCTCGCTCTGCTGGCGCTACTAGCCCGCAGCATCACTGTGCCCACCTAGAGTCATACCCAGTCCTACGAGTCCCCCCCTCCCCTCAGCGTCTCTCTGATTTATACCTTGATACTGACCCAGATGTCTCTTCTTATCAGGGAGCACGTTTAAACAGGGAAATGCTGTCTCTCTGTGTGTCCTACAGAATATCCCAGACAAACAGGACAACTGGGAAAACTTTTCCGGATACTGCTGATATGTGAGGTGTGTTTGCATGCAGATGTTTTGGGTGGCCACCCATTTCATTGGTTTTTAGAGAGTTGGTATGGTAGATTGATTTTCTTCTTCTTCTGTTGTCCAATGTTGACACATTATGAAATGCCCAATGTATGATTGATTCTTTAAACGTTATTATGATTTCCCCTTTGATACCTCATAAAACTGTTGTTTAAGTTGTGAAGCATCATTAAACTGAAATCAAATCTCAAAATAGATTAGCGTTACTCCTCTGTCTGCTGAGCTTTAGATCATTCAGCACAAACACGAATATTTGAAACAATGTTGTGATGAATGATTTTTATGTTGGCAGCTCTTTGGCTCACAAATTAGAACCTAAAGGTGGAAAATGGTCATTGTGGGAACTGCTGCAGTTAAGAAGGTTTGATCAGTGTTGATCAAGTTTACAATTTCTCTAGATAAGTGAAAGTCCCCTTTATCCACGGTTATTATCACGGAAATATCAATTGGGCTATAGTTTGTTGACGTATCATAGATGGCATTTTCCAACTCAGTATGTGTTCAGAAGGTATCTTTTACGGTATTTGTTCTTTCTACAGTTAAAAAACATTTCCATGTGTAGATTACAAACCTGTTCGTTGTAGCTCCTGTTTAGAAATTCCTTTTTATTTTGTGTCAAATCTTCACAGTTTGTGTTCATGCCCTTTTAAAAACACCCATTTTTATTTTGTAATCTGTTAAGATATTGTCATGTCGGTGCATCATATATCAAGGATGGATTTTAATGGCTTTATTTGGGTCATACAAACAATGTTCAGGCAGATTGAATTATCTACTTTTATCTTGTATGGAATTTTAAATTGCAAATAAAATGGAAATAGTATTTGTACACTGTGTGGATTTATTTTGTACTTCTGCATTTTTATAATCAAGTCATACAAAACCGCTAATCGAATCAATGTACTCAACTATGTCAACTTTAATACAACAGGAGACAAATGGGGAATGCAGTTTGTGCACCAAAACTGTGGAAAGACTATCTTGATGGTTTTTTTAGCTCTCAAACAATTATCTGTTTTTCCCCCCAGCTCTGAGAAGCCTTCATTTCCTTTGTACAATGCATTGTGGGAAAATTGTGGTTCTTAGGAATGCATAGGCCTACTGATTTCTTCAAATATACTTTTTTTAATGTTTTTTCCTATTTGGAAAAAAGACTTACTAAAAACCTGCTAAATGAATGACCCAACTTATGAAATATGATAGATATCAGTTAATAATGTTTTCCTTAATTGATCAATGAAAAAAGTTAAGAATCTCCATTTCCCAGAGCGCTGATGTTGAAAAATTGCTAGATTTGTTCAGAAAACTGTCAGAAACTGAAAAAAAGGACAAGCATTCAACCACTTATTCAGATTTGAACTAGTTTGTATTGAACTGGGACACAGCTAGAGGCTTGAAAAGAAACACACACCTGGTTCCAGTTATTGTGATTGCTGCTCAGTTCAGACTGCATCAGCCTGCGCTCACTCAATCTGAGTGTCTCTGGGTCAAATGAAGGATCCCTCAGTAGACAAACACATCCACATTTGCACCTTGGTCAGAGTTTTAAAAATAAAGAGTCTGTGTGAGAGACTGAGGCGCTATGGATCAATGTGACTGCACAAATGAAGACATTGGAGGCCATGACGGGAACAGTGACTCCCTGGAAGAGCTTCAGGATTCAAGGTAAGGACCGCATGGTGCACTTCGAAAACTAAGTTAACTTTATTTGTAGGATTGTGACGATGAAATATCTTTGTCCTTTTAGATCCCTCCCATAGACGTACCTTTAACTTGGGATTTGAAACCTATAGCCCAACCTTTTTCTCAGCAAACTAGCTAGAGGAGGACAATCCAGAATTGTCTGTATTAATAACATTTTAAATGTTTTAACTAACTGTGAACTGCTTATTAAACGCAGGGCAGCAGATACAGCTGAGGAGGAAGAGCTGAGTGTGTCCTTCGAGTCAAAGTACTTCAATTTATGTAAGTGTATCTTTCTCTGCGCTATTGAGTGGTTGAATAGTGTAACCTACAGCCATGTCATGTGACTTTCCTTAATTTCCTTGTTTGCCCTGAAGACCCTCTGTACCAGGACTACCAGGACTACTGTGTGCTGGCGGGGAGAGATGATTTGAACAAACTGAACAAAGTTTTGTTGTGCTCACTGACAATCCCCCAGGAGCTACAGACTCCTATTATCTGCCATGGCCTCAGCGCTGAGGATAAAAGCTTTCAACAACTATCCATTGGTGCGAATATATGCTTGGCTAAGGCTCCCCCAGTCAGGTGTTCGACCCTTTGGCAAGATCTAGAGGAGGTGAAGGCGTCTGGCCTGCTCGGAAGGTTGCCAGACAGAGATATCCGCCTTCAGGAGGTGAGTGGAACATTTTGCATCCAATCCTCCTTAGAAGCAGCTCACAGATGTATTGTTAAAGGCTCAGTAACTTCATTAAAAGCTGGACACTTTAGTTTATTGGAAATGTTCCCAATACGGGATTAAATATACTATTTTCCAGGGAATTATTTTAGCTGTGAAACTATGCACATTTATTAGTGAGGTTTATTAGTTTTGCTGACAATAAGAAACCAAAATATCCTCCTACTTTTGCAGAGAAATTAATTGTCACAGAAATGTATAAATAATGAATTCTTCTCTTTTTCTCCCTCTGAAGTTGATGTTTGAGTTGATCGGCTCTGAAGTGTCTTACCTAAACAGCCTTACTATTGCTGTCAACCTCTTCCATGCTTCGAAGGAACTGCAACAGTCCCTGACTCCAATGGAGCATCACAATTTGTTTTCCAACATTTGTCAAATAATGGCAGCCAGTCAAAAGTGAGAACTCCACATATCACTACATCTTATATTTGTTTGTGTTTGCCTCTGCTTAATTTGAGTTTTTGTCACTTATAGGTTCCTTATGGATCTGGAAGGTCAACTGGAGGAGAGTGTGTTGATTTCTCAGGTGGAAGACATTGTGCTGCAGCACTGCCCTGAGTTTCACAGGGTCTATGTGCCGTATGTGACCAACATGAGGTACCAGGAGACGATGGTCAACCAGCTGCTGTAAGTCTCTGTACATTACATTACTGCTGGCGCTCCACAACATCAATAACTATACATTCAATTTCTTCCATTTCCAAGGCAGCAGAACAGAGATTTTCTGCATTTAATCGAGAACATTGAGAGTCACAAAGACTGTCAAAGACAGTGCCTGAAGTCATTCCTTGTCCTTCCTTTCCAAAGAATTACACGTATTAAACTCCTCCTTCAGGTTAGCGTCTCATGATATTTTAATTGTTTGCATGCATATACATTTAACCAGCACAATGTGTTTCAGACCTCTTCTAAGGTTTGTGTTGGGTTGACTTTCATTTCAGAGCATCCTGAAACAGACCAAACCAGACGCTGACTCTATATCCAATCTCGAAAAAGCAATAGCAGCCATCCACGAGGTGAGAGTTTTACAGGATCTGAGAGCAATCGAAGGCATGTGATTAGCTAATAGACTCTAAAAATGTGAAATGTTATGCATCTTCTCTGACCCACAGATTGTAACAGAGTGTGATAAGGGGGTACAAAAAATGGAACACATTGAGGAGCTGGTTTATCTGGACAGGATGCTGGATTTTGGCAAAATGAAGGTGGCGAGTTTCTTAACACAGGTTACAAAAAACAGGATCAAGTCTTTTATAAAATCTGACTGAATGTCTCTTCCTCGTTGCAGTCTGTCCCTCTGGTTGTAAGCGGGCGTTTTCTGCTGCACCAGGGTCCCATGAGACAAAGGAATGTGGGGATCAGTTGCTTCTCAAATGTATACCTCCACCTCTTTAATGACCTTTTGGTTATCTCCTCAAAGAAGCATTGGTTCCAACACGCGGGGTTCACAGTTGCGGATCATGCTGAATTCCCCAGACATGTGAAAGTGGAGCATGTTCAGACTGAGCTCCTGGGTCTGCCCCCAGACTCCTTCCTGTTGCATCTCTATAACAGTCACACCAGACAACCCACCACCATGAAACTTGCTGCAGAAACAAGGTACAAGTGGACATTTTGTATATGTCTTTAATACTAATAAATATCCTGTAGTTGATGATTAATTTATTATTGGCTTTTTATGATTTTATTGCAGGTCGGATACAGAGGTGTGGATGAAGTTGCTGCAGTGTAAACGTTAGAGGATTCATGAATCTGCAAACACATTTTAAACTTCGATTTGTGGTTTTAAATTGCACATTTCTAATATAAACCTTTGATAATAACAATTATTGTATGACTTTTTAGATTTATCTTCCACTTAACTGCACCTTTTTATAATCTTAATAAGGGCACCATATGGCACAAGGATTTAAACATGCACTTGTTTTTCACAATTTGACACAAGGCAAGTAAAGGGAAACTTTTTGTATTACTTCTTGAGAATGTATTTATTCACTTGTATTAAAATGCTGGACACTTATAATCAATTTGTCTTTCACTTTTATTATAAACAAGTTTAGCCCTATTTTGACAAAAACACTTCAAATGAATAAAGAAGGTAAGAATAGAGTCTGAGGAAAAAATCGCCACTGATCTTCTCACTCTGAAATATTGATAACACATTTAACCCAATACCAAGCAGACATTATTTTGACTCAGTGTAGGTGTTTTAAGTACATGTATAAAGGAAATCTGTAATATCATCGGTAACAAAGCAAAGAAAAACGAGCTGTAATACTTAAAATTGAGAACTGTATGTGCTCAAACAGGCATCCAGTGACATGAAGAACACAAAATAATAAATAAATAACCTGTAGACACGTCTGCAGGTTAATATAACCATAGTCTCAGACAATCTATTATTTCTCAGTTTAAACATTCTCCTTATGTTCCTCCGACCTGAAACGTGAGCGATGGAGATGGAAGGAGGAAGGTGCGAGGAGTAGAGGCAACAGGCATAAAACATAATGAGACGTGATTCAAGTTGTCATATTAAAAAATTGAAACGCTGTATCAGTACATTGTCATGCTGTGCATCCTCGCTCATGGCTCCTCCACTGAGCGTATTCTCCTTGAGATGCATTTTAGGAATGTAATCATCCTTTAACATGGCGTGCTTAGATCAATTCACAGGCAGGAGAACAGACGAGACAACGAGGCACATAATAGAGAAATTAGATAAGCCTATCTGGTCTCACGATATTGATACAACACCCTGCTGACATAAGGGTGAGTACAAATAAAATGTATTGCAGTGATAATAGAATTATATGAAATAATTAAATCAGCCCCAAATAAGTTTCCTTCATCTCATCCCGGGGGATCTAAAGCTCTCGCAGATCAGCTGTCAATACACCGGCACACTGCAGGGACCTCACCTTGAGTGCAGGTCACCTAAACTGCCTACTAAAACATCTAAGTCAGGATTAAAGTACAGTCCCTGTCTCCTGCTGTGAATGGCGTCTGGCTGATACACAGTCCTGATGCCACAGGTGCTCCGCCAGGCAGTTGAGGAGAGAGGCCACATCCCCCAGTCCGTCACTGACCTCCCCCCCCACACGCAGCACTGGTACGCTCCACGTCTCCTTGAAGTTCCTCACGTCTCTCTCTGCCACGTCACAGTGCATGAAAAGGTCAAATCTGAAGAAGACATTAAGGCCAATCTCTGAATAGATATAGCAGTTATAGAGTAAGTATTCAGATTAACTTTCATAACATTCATATTTTTTTTAAGAATGTTAGAGGATACTTGGTGCCAACCACCAATTTCACAACCCGACCCACAGGAGCCCCGGTCCATTTAGCGATTTGGTTTGACAGATCATCAAAGGAGGTCCTGTCAGTGAAGGAGAACAGGAAGAGGACAGCGTCCACCTGCTCCTTACAGGCCTGGAGACAGGAAAGTGTGATTTAACATAATATCTGACAGAAGACATCAGGAATGTATGTTTAGTCTATTATAGAATAATGTGAGCGTAGTGTGCAAACACACTATATCACCAACACACCGGCAGCAGATGGTCGAATCTACGCAAGGCATTCTCCCCACAGTCCCACAGCTGCAGACGGAAGAAAAGCACTCTGCCATTTTCTCTTAGTTTTACCGGCCAGTACACCACCGTTGTCTCAATACCTTGAACAAAACATAAATAAAATAAAATAAAATGTGTGGTCTCACCTGATCAACCCTTTACATGTGTAAATTATTCTTAAAAAAACAACTGACTCTCATTGATCTGGGTCTACCTGTGGTTTCATAGTGCATGTTAGGAATATTCAAGCCTGCAAGACGTGCAGCCAGAGCAGTCTTCCCCACTCCACTCTTGCCGGAGAGGAAGATTTTATAGTGAACGGTGTCCACGGCTACATGTGGGGGCATCACCGGAGACTCCAACAGGCCTGTAAAATCATTTATAAAAGAAACATCTAAATACTTACATTTGTAAGATACTGATATTCCTACTTTTGAATTGTATTATTTATTATACGTACATACATGGATCAATAATTGTGTTATGTTGCAGGTTTATGTCCATTTGTTTACTTTCACTGTTGAATTGGTGTGTCACTTTTTGTATTATTCCACAGGACAGCATGTACGTTTTGTCATCTGGTTTTGAGTGATAAAGTTCATATGCCAAATAAAATAGTACACTTCAGCACTTTTTAGTGTGTCTTGTAACATCTTTGCTTGCCCGGTAATTCAAACATTAATGTGTACTTTGTTGTTGCATTGTATTATTAACACTTCATGGACACCTTATTTTGGTAGCCACAGTGTAGATTTTAAAAAGAGAAGGCAACTGTATCTGCCAGCCACTTTGTTAGATTGTACAGCTCATTTGTTTAGTATGAAATGAAAATTATTGTATCTGGTTATGTCTGTAAAATGTACTGTAGAAATAATTCCTTGTGTTGTATAATCAAACGCTGGTTACACAAATGACATGCTGCTTTAAAAAAACAAACCCGATTTCAACTAAAATGCTAAAGTTTATTTGTCCTACCGAAGTTTTTACGCCTCTTCTTGTGCAGTATTTTGCTGAAATATTCTTTGCTGTCTTTACACCGATGCCAGTCTGCCACAATGATTGATCCGGAGGAAAGAGAAACTTGTGCCATCTTGTTGTTGCTGCTAGAGTTAGCATCACATTGCTATGTTCAGTTTATCATCCAGAAAGGACGAACTGTAGCGGAACAAGACAACTCGTGAAACCGGAGACGCTATCAAAGAAATGCAAACAGTCTTTTCTCACAACGAAGTGCTTTAAAACTTGCAAGTAGAGCCGACAAACAACATGTTTTAATCTTAAAGTGCAGCCAATCGATTAGAACTTCCGTAAACTAAAACATCCCTTGACAACCGCTGACGTCACTTCCGTTCCCCATGTAGTTTAGGATGTCTCCTTCAGGTGCTTCGATAAATCGTGTGTCTTTGGGCTTTATCTGCCACTAACATGTGCACTGTTTTGGGACAAATAAAGAGTCGTGCCTTAAACAAAGCAGGCACTGCTTTTGAGTATGCTTAAGGTTAACCCATAGACTGTATATATAAAGGGTTAACCTCGTAAATTAACCTTATATTTGTAAGGAGCGCTTTGAGAGTCATTGAAAAAGCGCTATAATAAATATAAGGATTATTATTATTATTATTATTATTATTATTATTATAACGTTTTTGCAGCCCTTATAGGATAATTAATAAATGTTACGCTGCATGAAACATTAAATAAAGTTTTTTTTATCAACACAGTTTTTACATGTTTACACACCCAAGAAATGCTGGCAAGACTTTTCTAATATTCGTCATTTAGTGTTCGGGTTTTACAAAAACCATGACAAAAACTCAACAAAAAAATTGACAGTTGTGTTTTAATTATACATTTGATAAAGTTGTTGGCAACATTTTTCATTCATATTTTAGTTGTTTTTTTCCCTGAAAGATGTTGATGTTGATCAAGACCCTTTTCATAAGTCTTTATTTCTTTTCTTTTTTGCCTTTTTTTTGTCATATCAACTATATAGGCTGACTTTTGGTTCATAATTTAAACATAGGGTAAAATAGATAGTTAAGATAAAATAATACATACTTTATTAATCCCAAATTGCGAACATTTCTAAATTTCCCAATTTGGGATTAATAAAGTTGTTTTGCAGCAGACATGTTGATACAATTAACAAAGGTTGTGCGCATTTATTTCAACCGTCATTTACATGTTTGAGCTACATAGTTATCATTGAAAATCACTCTTTTTTTAGTGCATTGACCAGTATTAGGGATCTTTAATATGTTCAGTAGTACTTCTCGTCCACCACCAGAGTTCACTAAACTCCAGCGTTGAGACGTTAAACACAGGGAGGAGATGAAAACAGTCTGTGAGCTCTGACAGTCAGGGCCCCGCTGCTCCAATCTCCATGCTCATGGTCACAGATATGGGGTCCACACTCGATGGCAGTTTGCATCGATGGCAGAAAGTGTGTGTGACTGCACCATCTTCTCCCAGCTGCAGAGAGAATAAGGACAGAAATTATTAATTTCTGTCCTCATTCTTAAAAATTAGTTAATACATTTCAATTTAGAAGCATGGTAAGCCTCTCATACTTAAGAGATATGATTAAAGAAATGTGTCAAATTAAACAATGGTTTGAGTACAACTCATTAATTTCTAAGGCTTACCATGCTTCTAAATTGAAATGTATTAACATTCTTTTCCTATTTCAAATGTACATGGTCAAACAAAAAGGATTTAAAATGTGGAGATGTTCTGTAGCCCATTTCCAGTAATCCATTGCATTAAAGCCATTATTTTAACTTTATTCTTTTTGAATTAATCTTGATCAGCATGTAAGGCTTAAAAGAACAATCTACAGTGCAATACAAAATACTTGAACGACCTTACATATATCAAACAACTGTTTTGTGGACACATGAACAGGTCTTTTATAGCTAGGCCGACTGTGTGGCTCACCTTCTCCGCTTCCACCTTTATCCGGTTGTTCGAAGTTGTGATGACAACATCTTCTGGAGAAAATCCACTCACATCGAGGGTGAACTGGAAAATGTCTCCCATGACCTGGATCTTCCCTGTTGGATATGAGTGCCCTAAAACAAAACACAATAATTACTAACAACAACAATCTAACAATTACTCATCTTATTAAAAACCAGGTGAATCAAACATACAATATAAAAAGGGCAAAAAAGTAGTACAAATATTATCAGTCTTTGTTTATCAGACCTGTTGTTGTTTCCAGTGGCGTTTTTATATGTACAAAAGTGGTGGGGCACAAAAAACTTAGATGTCTATATATAAGCTTCTGCAGTGACGTGCAGTGAGGTTCATGGCTGGTGAGGCACTGGCACTGACTCTTCAGGTTTACAAATATTATATTTTGACCTAAACCAAAATATAATATTATTTTCAAAAGCTTTTTTTGTCTGATGCTTCGATTAATTTTAAACAGACAGTTCAACAAAAGGATACCCAAAAAATGTAATTTTATCATTTAAATATTGAATTGTTCTCTCTTAGTAAGATCCCATTTTCAATAAAATTGCGGTCTTACCTTGACTTGAAGATGAAGTCCATTTTCCTATCCTTCTGGACAAAAATTTCTATAACTTTTTTGTAAAAGTCCTCCTTATCTTCTTGTAGTTTCAAAAGTCTATCATAAATCTAATCCATAGATTTATGATAAAAAAATTATAAAAGTAGGGTAGACATGTGGATATTATCCGGCTAATCAAAACGTGCATTTATCTAACAGGTACGTTTCCCACAGATCTTATTTCGAGCTATTTTCTAAAATCCTCTGGAGAAATCTCATTGCTTTTTTGTGCTTATTTCCTGGTTTTAGGACGCGTCACTGCAGCTCTCTCGTCTCCTCTTCACACACCACACTTTTCGCGGCACAGTACTTACAGCCAATCAGCTCTGAATGATTTGAGATGACGTATGGTGGGGATGGTAGCTCCGTGCCCCTCTGGTCATTATTTTTTTGCCACACACATTACATTACAAAATACTCTGAGCATGCGCAGTGAAGTTTTTACAGTCATCGTTCACTTCACAGCGAGAGGAAGGGGCATAATCAGGTTTTGTCCCACATGGCTCTAAACAGCTCAATAGGCACACACTGTGACTGTAGACACACTAATTAGAAGAACACAGACTAAAACAGCAATGTACAGACGAATCAGATGATTAAACATGATCTTAAAATATATTTTATATATTTTTTTATATATTTTTTTGCATTTTTGTAATTATTATTTGTAATACTTTCTGCTGACACTAGGTGGGGCTGTGCCCCACCTGCCCCTAATGACCAGTCGCCACTGGTTGTTTCTATAGGTCTGCTGAGAGCCTCCATCTTTCTCTGAAGCTCAGCGCAAGTTCTTTCAGGAAGACTGGGTGTATACCCATTCAGGTCATTCCAGAATTGGAGGACATTTCATGTCCCACATATAAAACATCAAATAGTCCATGCCCAAAAAGCTAAAACATGCACTTGTTGTGTTAAATAGACTTGTCGTGAGACAAGATGCATATAAAGTTGTAGAAAAAGTGGTTTCAAAATATTATTTAAAATATCAAATAGCTCTCGAACATCCCCTAAAATGGCATTTTTCTCTTTTCCCAGCTTCTTGGTGACCAACTTGCATGTCAAATATAACATTTAAAATAGGGTTTTTATTTACTTTTGTTGGTATTATTCTATTGATATGTGTCTCTTGTAATGGTCAAATCAATTTGTTAAATCATAAACACATTTTAAATAACAGTAATTTTACACTGAAAGTGTGTCCCACAACATGCGCGCAACCCTGTTACCGAAACCTTTTTAGAGAGGAAGTGAAAAAACTGTTTGTCACACATCAGCAAGCCATGTGCTACTACCATGGGTAGACCAAAAGTAAGTCCTCTCTTTTATTTTTAATATATTTCCAATCTTGTCACTCTTGAAGGAGTGACGCAACCCTGTTACTCACATTATGAGACTAAAACAAATTAATTTCAAATGTATCTTTCTTTAGTTAAATATCTAAGTGTGTCCATTCCTTGACAATGGCATTACATTGTGCAGCTAGCATTAATTCCTGAGGTAAAAGCTACAATTAGCATTGATTTGCAACCCTGTTACTAAATTAGAGTAACAGGGTTAATTCTTCATTGGAAAATATATATAAAATATTATCAAACAACATTTCTGTGGTCCTGAGTATTTATTTGTCTCATTTATGTCATGATCTACAATCAAAAGTAATGTAGCCATTCAACCCTGTTACTTTATGCAACCCTGTTACTCTAATTTCAACCCTGTTACTGTATCATTTTCTATTAAAATAAAAAATTAAACCAGTTTTATCCAAAAACGACATGAGTATAAATGTGACTTTCTTTACTTAATAGTAAAGAATCTATTGAAGAATATTTTTGAAAATACTTTGTTCTGCTTAATGAGTATTTGTAACAGGGTTGCACAAAGCATGGCACACAACAAATAAAACATCTAATAAAAAGTGTACATTTGATGCCTTAGCTGGGCAAATCACTTTTTTTGATGGTTTATTGTCCGTTTTTCCTAAATACATAACAAAAAATAATAAAAATAAAAGGTTCATTTTTCAAAAGTGTTGGTGTCTAAATTGTCCTCCATTTCTGGAATGACTGGGTGTTCTTTTTAACCTATTACATTTCACCTCAATCTCCAGCAGCCAATCATCATGCTGCAGCCAAACTTTAAAATGGTTCTCTTCTCTCCTGCAGTCAGCTGTGATTTCAGGTTTTCACGCTGCCGCCCGCCTCCTCCCCATCCACCTCCTTTCACCAAAGACTTAACATTTATCATATGGCATGTGTCAATAAATGTTCTTTAAACAAAATGAAGTCTTTCCTGATTGAAATACAGGCTGAGGAAGCTCTCTATCTGCCACATGTATAAAGAGAGGCCATTCTAGTGTCTCTATATAAATGTGTGTGTGTGTGTGTGTGTGTGTGTGTGTGTGTGTGTGTGTGTGTGTGTGTGTGTGTGTGTGTGTGTGTGTGTGTGTGTGTGTGTGTGTGTGTGTGTGTGTGTGTGTGTGTGTGTGTGTGTGTGTGTGTGTGTGTGTGAATCAGCTGGAACATGACACAGATTGTAGATATTCAACGTGTCACATCATTTGTTGAACTGTTGTCTAGAGGACCACATTTTCTAGCCGCACCCCGGACTTGGAGCATATGAGTCTTTGTGTTTATGTGGGAAAGGGCGTGGAGCTGTTATTACACTGTGACAGAATAAACTTTAATTATCAGGTGTGATATTTAATGAACTCTCATTCACAGCTTATTATAAAAGTGTCAATATTGCGCCATAAAATAGCTTTTAAAATGGGATCTGAAACAATTAGTCGACTCATATCTTGGTAGATCAACAAATATTTTGATAAGTTATTAATCATTGAATTCATTATTCATCCAGAAATTGCAGAACATGTTGTTTTCAGCCTCTCAAATATGTGGATTTATTGCGTCTTCTTTTTTTTATGTACCTTTTCTGAGTTGTTTTACCTTCATAGTAACAGTTGGACGGTGTCAGTGTGCTACCATGGAAACATAGTGTTGTCAGTAATTGTTCCCACCTGTTTACTTGTTTAGTGTTTAGCTGGAAATCAAAAGACACACATATTGTATAGTCAACGATAGACGTTGTTTAGTCTCCATTTTCTCTCAACACTGTTAAATTGCATATCTTTGACTTTTGTACTGAAAACAACCTAAATATTTAAAGACATCACCTTGGACTTGGAGATGGACATTTTCAGTTTTTTTCTCACATTTTGTAGACTAAATGTTCAAAAGAGAAAATAGTCAGAACATGTATCAACATTCAGCCCTATATAAAATGTATAATCTTATTGTGCTTCTAAGATTTTCTACACTGTTCTAATGAATTTCCGGTGAAACCTAGCAGAGGGGGAGGTTAACATGTCTGAGTGAGTGACGGTGAAATGATGGAGCACAGTTGTGTGTACATGTGACATTCTGCTTCAACTTGGCAAAGTCATCGAGGTTGATCAACTCCGTCTGGATGACAGGTTCCACCAAAACAAGCACTTCTCGAGCAATTCTTGTTAACAAAACAAAACTGTAAATATAGATCAAAGTTGAGGTCAGATCTGTTCTGATTTTCACCAGTCAGGGTGAAGAGAACATATACTTTCTGACCAGGGGATGGTGGCAGAAGAAAAGTGCCACCAGAAGTTAGCAACCTATATCAGAAGAGTTGATCATGTTTTGAACACTGACATTTTAAGTATAGAATACATAAGCAGAAGAAAGGGAGAGGAGGAAGGTCTTTTTAATTGTGCATTTCCACGATAAAGATTAAAGTTGAAAATAAAGTAAAATGTACAGTTTATATAAATCACTAGTGGTTTGATTAATTCTCAAAGGTTTTTAATTTCTTCTATACTTTTATTTAAACTTTATTCTCACATTTTTAAATTAAGTCTTGATTTAGTTTATTCTTAACGTTTTAAGAGCCATTTGTGACAGCATTGCAGAGTTTCTTTTGTGAAGAGGTTGTAAGCAGAACATGTTTATCATAATCAAGTAGTCAAGTCACTTTTGAGGTTTTAGGATCTTAAATCTAGTGTTAGGCTAGCAAAAATATGAAAGGTTAGCTAGAGATATTTGATAAATATAGTTTCTTGAATTAACATTTGAGTTTGACATATGTATTTTTTTTATTATTTTTTTTTTATTAGTCACAATTACTATTCTAGTTTTCCGAGATTATAGTTGCTATTAAACACAAAGTGCAGCTAAGGCTGATGGGAATGTTTTAAGTATTGATCATAACCTAAGCAATGCATAAAGTTTTGGACCTGATGGTGGTGCTAGATGAAAAGTCAGGGATCACCAGAGTTCACAAAGGCTGTGAATGTCTGGACCAAATTTCACGGTAATCCATGTAATCCATGACACATTTGACTTCTAAACAAAAATGTCAACTTGCTGTTGGCACTACAGGACAAGTCAGGGGATCACCAAAGTCAGCAGAGTTCATCCTCTGGGGACCATTAACGTCAAAGTTCATAGTAATCCATCAAACTGTTGCTGAGATATTTCAGTCTGAGCCAATAAAAAACAAAAACACGTTGACTACAGAGTACAGATAGTGATCCAGTCACAAGGAAACACTGATTTTATTGAAAATCTCAAAAATACAACACCTGGCAAATATGCGCCAGATCAGAGTTATTTTTCATGTAACAAATGACATAAATACAAAATAAAATAAATATTAAATAAAAATGAACAGTTCGTTTAAGAGACAATGTAAACAAACAAAAGACTGAGGAAAATGCATCGTATGACACAGACTAACTACAGAATGTGTGATAATTTGCCCTGAGTTGACTTTTTTTAAGTAAGTCTCATTGATCATGAATAGAAATGTAGAAAAACAAACAGATATAAGGATCCAGAAACTCTGGCAGGATAAAGTGAGTGCTTGGAAGAGAATGCCCATAATAATAAACAACATTAAATATTTCAGTCATTCAGTAAAAACAGACCAAGCAATCTCACATTTTCTCACATTTAGCATTTACTTTTATAATTGTTTTAATTACAAAATCACATCACTTGTTCATTTTCAAACATATAAAACATTTTTTTTACATAAAGATAAATTAATTGTCTTCTGTTATTATAAAGTACATAAGTGTTTTGGAGCCAAGTCCTTTCTGAGTGGCGTAGAGGCTCCTCTTCAGTCGCGCCACACTAAAAAAAACCTGCAGTGTAGCTCAGTTTCACCCCCCCTTCAGTCCTCCCTGTCCGTGAGTGAAATGGCGTGGTCGGTCAGTGCACTTTGATTTGGAGGAATGCTTTAGATCACACTGCAAACACGCTGAGCGAGCTGGTCTCGTCTTTCAGACCCAGGATGCTGTACGCTATCCTCTTCATGTGACCGGGCAACCGCACTCCAATGTTCCTGATGTCTCTGAAAGGACGAGAGAAAATATATAGTTTTAAAAGTGTGCTGAAAACAATATGGACTCTGTGAGACTGCAGTGGTTCTTGTAGGGCAGCATTTAACATGGTGGAGTGTGTCAACTCGTTGAAAAACAATATCAATTATGTTTTGATCGGAAATAAATATATCCATGTATTGCAGCTAAAGGCTGTTAATAAGTGTTTTAAAAGAATGTATGTAAATATGTTCTCAAACAGTGAGCTTTAAGTAATACAAGCCGCTGAAATAACTTGTTAATGTGACAGAGCTGTTAGGGTATGTCGGATTTAAAAAAAGGCCACTGCTGTTGAAGCTGTGTTGGTAGAGAATGAGAGGAATGACATGGGCAGAGGCGGAGTGGAGTATTTCTGCACAAACTGGATAACAAATGTTCGGGCTGAGTGCTGAATACTTTCTCTGTGTTACTAAAAAATGTGGCCTGGTGCCAGATGAATCAGAGCTGCACCTGTGCCATGTGTGCACTTACTCATGCCTCAATGCGAGCACCTGCTCCATGGTCGTGATCCCCGCACGAGCAAAGCTTTCGTTGTACTGGTTCATCTTGATGGACTCCAGCCACTCGGGCACCGACCTGAAGGTGGTGCCGTCACAGCCGCTGGTGCTGGGCAGGCGGATGGACACGCTGTGAAAAACAACGGATATATTTGATTTAATCATCATTAACTGATACATGTACACTGATTGCACGTCATGAAGCTGAACAATAGGAAACAGGTTTGACGGTCAGCAAGTGTAATTTTCTAATGTCAAAGACAAATACTGCTCCAGTTAAAGGAAAGAATGGAGACAGATTTTAGAAATAATACATTAATTGATTAATATCTGTCTCAACTATTAACACTAAATTAGGGTTTATAAATGCCTTAAAGGGGACCTATCATGCCTTAAAGGGGACCTATCATGCAAAATGCACTTTTGTACGTCTTTTATACATGAATATGTGTCCCCGTTGTTCCAGGGAACTCACCAAGTGTCAGAAAAAACAACCCTCTCTATTTTCCTCCATACCCAAATCTCTAAAAAAGGGGCTGCAACGGATCTGATAAAAACTGATCCAGATTTGAACACTGTCCTGACGTCAGGACAGTGGCGCTACGGCTATTGGGCCAACTCCACCAATCAGGAGGAGACAGCCACGGCCATTGCCGTTCGAAAGCGCTGGAGACGCTGTAGTACATATGCCAGGCCTCTAGATGGTGCTGTTCTCACAGAATCTGCCCTTGCAAAAACAGAGCTAAAAAATGTCAAATTGAGCAAAATGAGGCATGGCTAAAATGCATGATCTGTTTGGTATTTTGAAAAAAAAAAGTATAAATATGCCTTATATAGGTATGGTCCTACACTATATTATTCAAATATAGCATGATAGGTCCACTTTAAGTTTAGTAATTCTATTAGGGCCAGGCTCATGCTCATTTTTTTTAGCTAAGCATTACGGCAATCAGAGATTAAAGTATATGCCCTAATGCAAATAGTTTTGATTTTCAAAGGATTGACATTAATGAAAAATGTTAAACCTCAAAAAAATGTCTCAACAATTAGACTTTATTTTCGGAAATGCAAAGAAACGAACTTTCCCCTTTATTTTTCTTCCCTTATGTCTCGCCCTAAAACTGGTCTGTAGAATTAATTATAACTCTGAGAGGATTAGTGTCTTTTACAGTTTTACTTTTGTACCAAATCATAAAATAATGTTCATACCGTGGATCAAAGTCAGCGATGGCTTTCAGAGACTCTGGGCACCGGAGCAGTTTGTCCAATGTGATGACAGCGTCAGTGAAGCGAGGCCGTTTGGAGCGGTCGTTCTGCCAACACTGGAGCATGAGCTGGTAGATAGCGGAGGGGCAGTCCATCGGAGCAGGAAGCCTGAATGCCTCGTTGATAGCCTTCATGACCTGAGGAAGAGCAAAACCAGTGCTTAGATGTAAAGTCTATTTATGAGAGCGGTGACAGACAGTCTGAAAAGGGGCTTTGTTCGTATGTTGACTTAAACAGTTAATTTGAAAAGGATGGTGGGAAACTGCTCTGGATGTCAGGCAGCTTTTTATCACCAGCTACCCAGCTGAGACTCTCAGTGGTTATACATAATAAAGTTTAACCTACACAGCCTAAAACAATCCCTCATCTCAACCATAACAGTTGGAAACATACCTCATGGTTGCTCATGTCCCAGTAGGGCCGTTCTCCGAATGCCATGACTTCCCACATAACGATGCCGAAGCTCCACACGTCGCTAGCTGAAGTGAATTTCCTGTAAGCGATGGCCTCAGGGGCCGTCCAGCGAATGGGGATTTTACCTCCCTGATAGAAGAGAAACAGTAAGAAATCATATTTAATTGGTGCAGAGAGTGCAAACACAAGGCGCTGAAAGAAAAGCACTTTGGATTGGACGCTTGAGAAGGAAATAAAACAAGGGTGGTTCTCTCTATGCTTTCAGGCTGTAAAATGTAGACTTACCCTGGTTGTGTAAGTGCCCTCAGCATCATCCTCCAGCACACGTGACAGCCCAAAATCAGAGACTTTGCACTCCAGGAGGCTGTTAACCAGACAGTTTCTCGCTGCCAGGTCACGGTGGACGTAGTTCATGTCGGAGAGGTATTTCATGCCAGCAGCTATTCCCCGCAGCATCCCCACCAGCTGATATGAATGAATCTCCCCATCTCTGTCCTAAAAGGAAAACAATATTAAATAACCTTTTCTTACACTTAATTGTTAAAAACATTTTCATCTTGACATAAATGTAAGTCAAACACAACTTCCTTTGTTTTATGTCATTTTTAACTGTATTTAAGGAATAGTTCAACATTTTGGGAAACTTATTATATGCTGTCTTGCTTAGACTTGAAGAAAAAAAAACAATACCATCAATTTAATGTTATCGAAAATAAAGAAATAAACAGAAAACATAGATTTAAGGCAAGACAAGACAAGATCATTAGACGAGTGGTTTTTAGTTTGCACCCTTAACAAATAATAAGGACTATAAACATTACGTTTATGTCTGAAGCTCAGGTCTTGACATATTGCACGTACCTTCAGATATGTGTCGAGGGCTCCGTTCTCCATGTATTCGGTCACTATCATTAAGTGCTTGACTGAAATTAGAAACAGAAAATATAGGTTTAGAGAAAGAAAACCACACAAGCAGCTGATGCAAATGAAATTAGAGTGATTTCTTTGATTTCTTTCTGATGTTATGGACTCACATTTGGTGACGACTCCCTCCAGGCGGATGATATTGGGGTGCGAAAACTGACCCATGATGCTGGCCTCGCTCAAGAAGTCCTGCCTTTGTTTCTCAGAGTACCCCGGCTTCAGGGTCTTGATCGCGACGGGCACCTCCCCTCGCCCAGGAGTCTTCATCACGCCCCAAAACACTTCCCCGAACTCTCCTGATTGGCAGACAGACGGCAGGAGAAAACTTTAGAAACTATGCTCTAACTTTTTCATTAAATCAAATCGTGTTTTAAAAAGAAATACACTCACCAACACCGATGACTTTCTGTTTGCTAATGGCACTGGGGTCAATTTCTGTGACAAACTTCGCAATGGCAATGTTAGGGTCCTCATACATGTGTGGATCAACGTATGTCTTCAGAGGCTTGAGTTGATCTAGGATAGAAATAAAGACCAGATGTTTAGTCTTAATGATAACCGAATAAACTGGTGATATTATTATTGAATGTACAGAATGGTTTTCTAACCTGTTGAGAAGTAAGGATCTTCAGGTCCTCCCCTGCCACGAGAGTTCATTCTCCTGAAAGGAAAACATGAGGGATTACTAAACAGAAAACAGCTTTTAACTAATTGCAGGTCAGTCTCAGCTGAAAAGACCAAGGCTGTATTCAATAGCTACACCGGCTATTACCGATAAATCCTCCTTGAGCTGTCATACCCGAATATCTTTAATTTACTCGAGCTTGTGGCACATAATCACACAGTCTGCAGCTCTGAAGATAACATTTATCTGAATGACACAGGCGTTGGACGGGGATCAGAAGCATGTTGTTACCAACCGTTTACGCAGCAACAGGACGGCCACCACAACGAGCAGAATAACCGCGACGCCAACGACTGCTCCCATCACCATGGTGGAGCTGTTCTGGGTCAGAGACTCGGCTGTGCAAAACACAGAAAGAGACACATTTAACAACTCAAGAACGAGAAATCAAAGATTATACAGAACACATTTTGAGAAATGATTTAATCTTCTATCACTTTTAAAGGTTCCTGTTACCTAGAGGTAAAGTAGGGAACTCGTGCTCCACACTGTAGCTGCCGGGGTTTCCTTCAGGACTCAGTGCCTGGACCCTGAACATGTACGTAGTGTCTGGGGTGAGGTCACTGATCAAAACTGAACTTTTCTCCAAAATCAGGACTGTGTAGGTGGTCACATCACGCTCGCCCTCATCATCCTGCGCAATAAGGAAAACAGGAGGATTAGAGTCATTTTAGAAACCATTTACAGCCACAACTTTGAACGAGTGAAGGAGGGACAAAGGAGCAGTGTGTCTTACTTTTCTGCGGTACATGAGCTCGTAGCGGTGATTGATGTGGGCTGGAGCCCTGCGAGACAGAGTCCAGGACAGAGACAGACTGGTGGGGCTGCGATCATCCAGATGGATCAACGTCACCTTGGGGGGATCTAACGGTCGGTGAGGGACAGAAAGCAAAATAATGGTTAGTGACTAATCATAGACTTTGGAAAGCACATTTGGAAATGAGAGCCTTTGGGATTCTGTGTGTCACACTGCATTCCTCGTTGTGTAGTAAGCCCTTCTTTTTGTATGATGGTTTGTACTGAGAAATACAATTCTAAATATTTAAAAATGACTGTTTGGGGTTCTGAGGACAATAGACCTCTTTCAACAGCTTAAAACATTTGATTAGTTTTACCACTTTTTTACACATTGTTTTATCGTTATGATTAATGTTAAGAATCATAGTGAATATAGACTGGTGCTCACAACTATTTATTTGAAAGCATTATACACAAGGGTATCATAGAAAGTTTTTATCATTTCTACATATTAAGTTTCAATAGTTTTCTTTTTGATTTTCATTATTATTTTCACACTTACTTAAAGTAAAGCCAATTAGAGCATAACACAAGGTTAAATCGGAGCAAAAAGAAGAGCTTTTCTTGTGTTTGAGCTCACCGTTGTAGTCCAGAGCGGTGGTGATGCTGGCGATGGGCCTCTCCGTACCGAACTGGGACACGCCGCTGTGAGTCTCCACGGTGAAGGTGTAGTTCAGATGAGAGTCCAGGTCACTAATCACAACCTCAGTGTCCTGCAGGTCTGTCGGACCCGTCTCGAAGCGGATCTTCTCGCCACATGGGACACACACGGCCCCCTCGCAGTGTTTGCACTCCACACTGTAGGTGAGGTCCCTGCGGCCCCCGGTCACCAGCGGCAGGCTCCAGGACAGATGCAGCCTGCCCTCTGCTGAGAGGGTGGTGGAGGTCAGGTCTCGAGGGGCACTGGGTGGAGCTAAGGGAGGAAGTACATGACACAGAACAGTTAGCCTGATCTTCAGTAATGAGCTATTAGTTTACTTTATGAGTAAAATTAAATTGAGTGTGGTTGTTACCAGAGCAGGGGGACGTAGGAGGGTCTGAAGGGGAGCGGAAGAAACCCTCCTCACATTGACAGTCGGTGGCGCCAGCCGCGGACGGCTTTGTGTTATCGGGACACACTTGACACAACTCGCCTGATACAGATGGCTTGAAGTAACCTGGTTTGCATTCTGTGTGAGATAAAAAAAAAGGTGTGTGTTAGTTTAAGGTTGTCTTTAGGACTAACTATAAAAACAGACAAACACAGGAAGAATGAATGATGTAAAGGCAAACAATGAAGCCGTCTCTGTAATACCAGCCCGCTCCACCCTACAGGAAGCATATTGTGAGTAACCTATAATCACTGAGCCTTTGTATCTGGAGGAATGAAAAGGGATTTCCCAGACGATCTGCCTCCACTCGCCTATTTCGCCTGAAGGCCTAATCTCAGGTCACACCGACAGTGTGAACCGGATGACAGAGCATTAAATCCATCAGGTGATCTGATCTGCCGTTCCCCTGTGAACCCTCAGATCATGTTCTCTGGCAGATCAAATTTATGTTTTTGCCAAAGGAAATGGCATCTTGGACACTGTTGAAAGAGATGATGATGTGACATTTGAGCTCACTGATAAACAGCCTTCCAGGGCATGAGAGGTTAATGAACCAGCAGAGTGGACAGAAACTACAGCGCAAGAGCTGCAATCCAGTCTGAGGCTGATGTTTCCTTTCCTTCTTCCTTCCTTCCTCTAACCCCTGACACCAGTGGCAAATTACAGCACCCAATGTTGAAGAGTTAGAAGCAGGAAATAGGAAAAACTGACAGGAACGAGTATGATTTTCAGTTTGTTTATGGAAATACACAAACATACTTTCTGAGGTGATAAAGGGCTCCAGCACAATATAAACTTTAATAACTTTAAAAGAGGATCTTATCAAAGATATCCTCTCTCTTTCATTCTGCCGCCTCCCCCCGGGTGGAGCCTTTCATCTGGCCCCTGTGCTGGTGGCCGTGAGAAGAGGTCGAGTGAACCCTGGATTTAAGACGCGGTCGCCTTACTTCACCATTCAGGCAGAAGGACCTTTGCACTCCAAGAAATGCCGCAGTGGAGGAGAAGGAACAGGTTGATTTTGAGTAGGAGGGATAAAGATGAATAGATGGATGGGGGATGGGGGCAAAGGTCTGAAGCACCAACAGAAGTTCTCCCTGGGGAGTCACTTGGCGGCAGTGGGGGTGCAGCAGAGGTCTTTTCAAATAAGAAAAGGGGGCCAGTCCATTTCATCCTGAGCTGCAGCAGCAGGACGTCTGTCACGTACCAAAGAAACTCCAGCCCTATTCATCCATTGTCTCTGAGATTGGACAGAGTGGGGCCATAAATATGTTGCTTTTCTCATTAAACAACTCGCAAATGGCGGCATTCGTGCAATGTCTGCAAACATTGTACACGCTAACTTAGGCAACGATGGATTCTCATAATTACATTGAATTCAAGTCTAAGCGTCTTTTTGTGAGTCATCAAAAAGTGTTGAAATACAGTTTTAATTTGATTAAAGCTGCAGTGATTAACAGATTAGTTGTCAACTATTTAATTATTTAAATAAAAACTGATTTGATCATTGATTATTCAGTATTTTTTCCTTTTTAAGTAGTCGAAAATTCCAAATCCTGATTCGACTTGACAATGAAAATAATTGTTAGTTGCAGCTCTACATTCAATCCAAAACGTTTCTTCAGCTAACTTTAATTTTCCCCTTCTTGATGAAATCGTCCCACGCTCCTTTCTGACTACTGCACACATGTGAAAAGGACTTGTGTTCTGCACCGGTGCATCTGTTAATTGGATCTGTTTTCTGCTCTTTGTGTCGGCCCATTGTTCTAATGAGTAGGAACACGGATTAGGGAGCTCGTTGCGTGTGTTAACAACCGGATGAAAGAGCAAAGGGAGGCAAAGCGGGGCATGTCATTGGCTAACAGCTGTCCTGTTGCTCCACTAATCCTCTTGACTAAATTACACTCCACACCTAACTAAGCAGCCACGAAACTAACCACCCTCATGCACCAACTGTTGACTGACACCCCACCCTCCGACTGGGCACAGGACAACCTTCTCATTTGTGTCAGCATTCCTCCTCTTCTCCCTTTACTTCCTGTTCCCACAACAGTTGTTCTCTTTAGGGGAATGCAGGCCATTAGCCTCGTGGATATCACTTTCTCTGGTGTACTTGAAAATAGGGAGTTGGAACAAACTACAGCATGATAATTGTTTTTTAATTTGTGTATTAAAACATGTTTCCTGCATCCTAATACTCAGGTCATCCTCCAGACTTTGGAATCACAGATTTTCCCCGTCATAATATTTCCTATCTTTCCCAGCCAACTTCCGTTTCAGGTGCTGGGCTCAGAGTCCACTGTGGTCAGAAAGCTCAAAGACTGAAGCATTCCTCTGCCGTGACTTCTTCCCCGCCTTCCTCTTTATTCTTTCTTCATTTTTACAACCCCAGTACAAGACTCACTCTTTGAACCACTGTACTTATCTATCAAAAAGGTATGTAGCGCTTACAATAACTTCCATAAACTTTTAGACTTGCAACTAATAGATGTTATTTTGTCCAACCAGTCCAAATATAACTCAAGCAGTAAATCATTTCAACTGAAAAGCTACAATTATTTTTGAAATGTTGGAAGAAAATAAGAAGTAAACGAAGTAACAATTATCAAAAGAGTTTTCAATTACTCTTTTGTCAATCAACTAATCGCTTAATTCTTTAAGCTGGTTAGAGGGATCAGTTGTGTTAAAGCAAATGACTGAAAAAAGCCAGCTCTGCCAGTCAAGGTGACTCGGACCATCAGGAGTCATAAACCGCAGCCTGACTCAGTCTAACCTCTGGCAGGCGTGTCGGCCTCTTCCCTGTAATTGTGGCTCCTGTCGCCATAGCAACTGGCCCAAAACAAATACTTGCGAGCAGAAGACATAGCACTCAGGTAGTTATTCTGACACATTCACACGGCTTCTTCCTTCAGTCAATCAGTGCTGGAGGTGACGCGAGGGTGAAAGAATTCCTTTCAAAAGTCCCTGCAGCCGACTGAGCCCTTTCTCCCTCCTCCCCCTCCTCCTCTCCGTCCTCTCTCTCCTCCCACGCTTCCTCCAGACGCTTAACACACCACGCCCGAGAAGCCAGAGACAAATTCCACACGAACAGTAGGAGCACTTACTGTATAAAAACCGCAGCTATGTCTTTTACTGTACACATCTATTTTATTGTTCTGATATGTATTCGCAGGTCCTTCTCTGGGGCTGTTTACATAGCTTTCTTTGTTTTAAAAACTACCTGTCTAATATCTAAATGTTTGGAAAGTTTATCCTCATGTCCCCTTAAGTTTTTTACTTTTGTATTCTACATACCAAAACTATACTTCCTTTATTTATTTATTTTAAAAAGGCACAACAAACTCAAAGCCTTCTGAGAATTAGTGTGTGGTGTGGAATTTGGACATAGCTTCTTGTTCTGTATCATCACCTCCAGACATCGACCTATCCATAAAACAGCCCCATTCCTGAGTCCTGAGAAAAAGACTGGAAAGAATTTGTAAAGAGATGAGGCATTGATGGGAGGCTGTTGACATTTCCCTCAGTGGATTTATCATGGAGCAATCTGCGGTTGCTGTAATATCAAAACACAACAAACAGGCTTAGTCATCTTCCCTGTTTCCTAACTTTCCTAAGCTCCCTCCTGCCGTACCTGACCCACTTCAGCACAGATACGCCAGAGATAGAGTGCTTTTGTGAAAGATTTCAAAACAAACCAGACACAATTAACATTCCTCAGCGCTCATTCCTCACATGTTGCCAGAGGAGTGGTTGAAGGTGCTTCACTTACTACAACTCACATGGCAACGTAAACCCTTCTCAGTTGAGTGCTGAGGGTTAGGTTTTTTTTGGCTGTGCTTACCTTGGCAGGATTCCCCGGTGGTTTCATAGCCGGCGAGACATTGGCACTGCCCCACGGGAACCACCCATTCTCCCTCAGCTGTGCAGTAGATGCGTGGGGTGGCCTGGCTGACGGCATTCTCCACACAGGCTCCCTCCACCTCCCTGAGAGAATCCGCCACAGTCTCCGGGAAGTCCGCCAAGCTCTGGACCGTGGCTGGGCACGTCTTGTAGTAAACTCTGACAGACAGCAGCGCCACACACGCGCCCATGTCCTGAAAAGCCAGGTAGAAGCCCTTTCTAGACAGAGGCCCCATGGCCCTCGTCTCCATGTTGACCTTCAGCACGCGACCCCGTGTGACCTCGTCAGGAGCGATGGTGGCCACTTTGCGAAACTGGCCTTTACGGAAGTTGGTTCCAACGTCAGCGTCGGCCTCTGAGATGAAAAGGTTGAAGGTTTCTTTGCAGGCGACTGAAGCACCATCAAAGGTGTTGCAGTCTCTCACAATAAAGCGGAGCTCCACAGAGACTCGAGTGGCTCCCGGGCGCCGCTGGATGAATGTCGTGCGTAACCAGTTGTCCTGTTCTGTAGAGTCAATGCTACACACACTGTAGGTGTAGAATAGCGAGCCGTTCACCACCGTTTGAACTATCTCCCACTTAAGGAAAGAAAAAGACAAAAAAAGAGGAGATGGATTAGTGTAAGGGGCAAAAGTCACTGTCACACAGCTACAATAATCAAAGGAGTTTTTTTTCAGGGAATAAGTACAGGGTTTGTTTGCTTTGTTCTTGTTGAGGGATTTATTTATGAGACACCTCTTCTTTCATGCTGACTGAGAAGCTCATAAAGAGCAGGAGTGAGCAGGAGTGAGCTGGAGCTTTTTTCCACACATCAAGATTATTGGCCTAGACATGTGCCATGCTCTCGACGTGTGTGGTTTTCCACTAACACATGAGGCTGCATGTTGTGTGAGCCACACACACACACAGCAGATACTACTGTAGACTACCAACTAACATTTATGGCAGTTTAATGAGCTTTATAAGCACAGTGGCAGCTAAATTGGCAGCAATTAAGACTTTTTAAGAGGGGGGAGCAATGACGAGCAGAAAGATTAAAAGCCTCAATTCAATATTAAGATTTAGCACCTCATACTAGCAGCACTGGTGTGTTTGCAGTTATATTTCAATGATTAGACATCCCTTGAAATTACTATCCAACTTGAATCGTCTACTTAGGAAAGTGTACACAGCATTTAGCAAATCAAATATTAGCTGAAGCAAATACCACACATTGCAGGTCCCTGTTACAAATTTAAATAAACGTTTGTGAGAAGTGTGAGAAAGTTGGATTAACACAAAGCAAAGTTTGATGGACAAGGGGAAATCCTATCTGATAAAAGGAGAACCCTTAGATCTTTGAGAACGTAAGAAGAAACGTGGCCCACACAGTGGAAGCGGCCATGTCCTGTGTCTTTTTTTAGATGGAAAGCCACTGAACTATAGATAGAGGGATGGTTCTCCACACATGGACCAGTCTTTCTTTCTCTTTTACTTATGTCTAACCACAACTGTACAGATCATCTTGCTGTTGATGTCATCTCTAAAGTCAGAGAGGATTCACAAGAAACCTTAAAATGATTTTATTTAGTGCTGGAATGAGCTCCTGTGATTGTGTAAAGTCCAATGTATGTACTGGGAATTTAAATGTAGGTTGAACCTTGGCATTTTAATGGCATTCATAAGTCTGTCATAAAAGGTTAACGTCAACATACTGTAATACTAACTTAACTCTTACATTTCTCAGAGGGATTCATTATTCTACTTAATGAGAAGAAAGAAGCCTCTTTTGCTAAATATGATTGATTTCCTCACATCGGCTTGTCTTGCGCTGATTTTGTTTTCCATAAATTGTCTTACTCGGAGAAAGAAAGTTTCAAGTCTTTAACCTGAAGTCTTAAAAATGCCAGTTGAGGTATAAATACTCACTCCGTTCTCATATGGCAACGTCAACCACCCCAACTCTGATCCTGAAGCTCTCATATCCAGCAATACTTCTATAGACACAAACAGAAAAACATATATATTACAGAGTGACAAGAACAAAATGACACAATGATAATGAATGAAAAAACTAAAATATTCGCTTCAAATTACATCTAAATATTTTACAGACCTAAACTTGTGTCACACACATAGCATCATGTTTTTAGTTGTTCCTAAGGCTATAAAACAATTAGAAAATGACTAAGATCGGACTGTACTAAGAAATGGTGTGGCTTGATCTCCGGGAACAGCAGTTTTATGAGGGCACATGCCATCCTTTGACGGTCTAATCGAGCATGTCGGTCTGATTCAGGACTTCATTGACCGTGTCCTCCAAATCCAGGATACAGCATTAATAATGTCTGAGAAAGGCGTGGGCACTTAAATTGCCATGACGAGCGAAATACATGAATCTGAACCACAAGTAAAAGAAAAGTCTGACATGTTAAGGCAACTCACAGGTGCCCTTTAACCCTAAATTGGCAAAGGCCATTACAAATGTAAACGTAGCGTAATTCTCTTAAAAGACTGGTAGGCTGTATAAAATAAAAAGTGATAATGCGATCTTTTTGAAGATTTAAATCAATTTGAAAATTAGAGACAAGGTTTAAATAGGCTTCGTGAAGGGATATTATAAAAGGCAACCCGCACTATATCATATTTTACACTGGCTTTCTGACTAAAACACAACAAAAATAGGTACTATATTCGCTATTTTAAACACATTTTAAAACAGAAGCAAAACTTAAAACCGGCTATCAAATTCCAACCTCCTGACTCACGATGTGCGCAACAGCTCTGCTTCATTTTAGTTTTTAGACAACGCGTAAAAAAGTAGCCTACTTACGTTCTTTCGACTGGAGGCTGATAAAGACGTGATGACAGAATAAAAAGAGAAACAAGTAGACCCGACATAACTCCATGATTCCGCACAACTTTTATAAAAAGTCGTGTTTTTAAATCCCGAAGTCTCTCCTCCGTCGGTCTGTCCCACACTAACTTCACTCTACTGGCTCACTGAGCCCATTCACAAACAGGTGGCGTCATAGCTCCGCCCCGCACGCTCTGGAATGTTGAAGTTCTCCAAATATGGTAATTTAGGGGCGGGGCCAGATGTATTTGACCGCACCTGTTTTCATTCATAAACTGTACTCCAACAGCCTCACTGTATTGATTTTAAAGTGTGTGTATGATTTTCATGTACTGGTAAATTTTTAGAGTTTTCTGTTTCCATAACATGTTCTCATTCAGATTAGTGAAAAGAAACATCCCAAATTGTATGTCTTCAATATTTTGGATATTTATTTTCTTCTAAGAGGTGTTTATTTATTTCAATTGTCGAATTGCTTCTCTTGATGTCTCTTGAATTCACCAACAGCTAACTGAATGCTTCACTTGCTCATTTAAACACAGTTTCAGAAAACTTGTTGATCAAATGTGTTTTACAGTGACCATGGGATAAAGTTGAATACACAACCTGTTATACAAGAACATAATACTGAGCGATGAACAAAGGCAGATTTTTTGTAATAGTTATTACTGGTTATTTGATATGGGACTTTAAAGGGTAAGGTCATTTGTGGTGGTTTTATATTTCAAAGGTTAGAAAACCTTTCTTTGGATTCTTACTAAAAAATCTGTCTGTACCTGCAGCGTTAACTGCATGTTTTATGGCCAAATCTTTTAATGTTTACTCTGTCAACATGTGTTTTTTCTTTTGATGATTTCTTTTGATGATTTTGACAAAGATGTTCTCAGGTTTCTGTCCTGGAAATGTTTTCAAATGAGGACATATTTGATAAGATAATGTCTAATTTGTATATTCAGTTTTCTTGGAATATAAAAGTATTGTGTTAATATAGGCAATCAACTGGGTAACTTTCATGTGTATATCTATTAGTTAGAATTGACCTTGTTTAATTGTAATGCTTCCCCTTAATTTATCAATATTTGTTAATTAATAGATCCATATCATGTCAAAGTCTATAGGCCTACATATAATCTTACATATTGTTAATTTTAATGTCTGTCTTTCACAAGTAAGTGTAATTCAAATATAAAGCTTATAGGGTCATCACACCATCATAAAACCATAATACTAATATGGAAATACAATGAAATACACATCACACAATACACAAACTACAATGTACTAATACTGACTAATACACACACATCATTACCTTGCTAATTTACAGTACAATTAACTCAAATGGGTGCAGCCCTTGTTTGTTTATTCGTCACTTAGGCCTTACCTTTGTGGTAAAAAATATAATATTTGGTATTAATAATATTTCAGTCGGTAAAGTGTTTAAATTGACTCAAGGAAAAACTACAGATACTACAATTATAACAAAAATACAAGAAATAAATAAAAGTACCAAAGTATAGAACAATTCAACCAAAGTACAAGTTGTATTTAAGAAAGCCATTCAAATGTAAGTAAGCAAGTCAAATATAAGTACCATAAAATTGCACTTGTGTACTTATATGTAGTAACTTTCAAATGTGATTTTCTGAAGGTAAGTATAATGATAATTGCTATTGTTTAACAAATTAGTATTTACATTGTTATAATGGACCTGTCTTCAGTAATGTGGAGCAATACACTGAATTTTACTCTGTTTAATTATTAAATGTTAAGCTTTGACTATATTTAAACAAAGTAATACAGGCATTTTTTTTCTTAAAAAATAGTTTATAATAAAGATGAAACAGCAAAGAGTATGTCAAAGATTTTCCTTCAACTCTCTCTCTCTGATTTTTATTTTATTTGTATTAACAGTAGATTTGGTGTCTTGCACATGGCATGGGAATGTAATTAAAGACAGAGCACTGAGCTAAACCAGTGCATAGATGCCAACTCAGTCCAGCTCGGATACATTTGCACTTGGTGTTTAAATATACGTTTAGGGACCCTCTATCTCTGCTGGGACGAGAAATGGAAGTTCTGTATGTAGCGAACAATATGTGTCAGTTTACTGTACAAATATGTTTGAGCTTTACCAGTCTTTCCATATGAAAGCGTGTTTAAGCTGGACAATCTTTCCGACCGTCTCCAAGTAATTGCCCGAATCCTCCAAATGTCGCCCAGGACTTGTCTTTCCCACGACTGGTAAAGGAGGGGTCAAGTAGGAGGGGGTGGCCTGGTATGAATATATGACTATTAATGAGACGCTCCTCATAGAGAACCTTACAATTCGGGTATGAATATGTGTCCACAAAGAAGATCTAACAATAGCATCACCTAGCAACTCTTATCTTGAGGAATTTCAGAGTCAAGTCTTCGCTGTGAAGCGCCGCGTACTTGGAAAGAAGAGCCCCTCAATTTGAGAGCCAAACACAGCCAGACACCCTGACAAAGACCTCCCAAAATATCAACTGAAGAGGCGGACATTGTCTTGTCCAACGTTACTATACACGGACATTAATCATACAACAGGCGGAGTGAAAGATGTTGGTTAAATAATAGATTAACAAGTTAAGTGTGGGCTGATTTATGGCTTTCCGACCTTCAAATCACAATAACTTCAACTGCTTACAAAAACTAAATGTAGTTTGACATGATAATTTCAACACGACGGGAAAAGAAGAACAAAACTGTCCCTTTCTTAATAAATCATGCACTGCAAATTAAGATGCGCCTTAGCCTCATAATGACATGTAGATTGTTTTGTTTTTTAATGTTACATAATGAATATCATTGTGAACTTTTTACTCACAATGGTACAACAACTTACATTTCAAACATGGTTCCTGCAGCAGAAAAAAGGCTGTTTGAATTATATTTTCCTCAGCTGTTTGTCAACCTAAGCCTCCACAAATATCAGTATTACACGTTCAAGTATCACTTATTTTAGTCAACTATATTTCACAATTTGTATCTTCGGGATATAGAAAGTGGGATCTGTTTTTCAAACTCAGAAAGGCCAACACAACGCTAAAGATCCAGAAATCCTCACTTGCAAATGCTCTGACACACTCTGTTTTGAGTGTGAACTGCCACTTGAAGGAAACTCTCCATCTTAAGCACTCACGCTGCCTTTCTCTCCTCACTTTAACGGTTTTGATACACAACGAGGTACGCTAAGGTGTTATTTTCAAGTGTGTTAATGCTTAGGTTCTGAAAAGTGGTTTCTGTTGTCACCCAGTTCTCAAAGGAGTCAAAGGTTAACACCCTCTCTAACACACAAGTATGCAAATGCTTTCATTACAATACAGGCTTCTTTTTATCCACCTAACTGTGCATGCGTGCTGCTGGAGAGCAGACTCACATCAGCGCCCTAACACCCCCTCCTCCTCTGGTCGCAGGCTTGTGAGGGTGATGACAACACAAAAGTACTTCACACTGGGGGCTGGGTCTGCATTTTGTGGGTCAGTGAATGGCAGGCCGGAGCAGCAATGCCATGTCATTCAGAGCCTGCCCCCCTCACACCCCCTGCTTTCCTTACACTTCTCGTGGTATCAGCAAACAGAGAGGTGGATTAAAGAAAGCACCGGGGAGTTTTTGTGTACTGCCAACACGAAATGCACCTACTGTTTCCCACCATCTCAGTGAGGCCCCCAACCCTTGTTAAGAACTAACGGATTCACGCCTTTGTTTATTTGTTCTGATGACTACAGCCTAACCATCAGTAAAGAAAGAAGTACTCAGATTATTTACTTAAGTAAAATAGAAATCCACAGTCACCAATAGTAATCATTTACCAGTAAATGTGCTGCAAGTACTGTCACTTAAGTAAAGGTCAGAAGTATTTGAAACTAAATTAACTTAAAGTATAAAAGTAATGCAAGTGTTTCATGATTTCAAATTCAAAAAGCTTTATTGGCATAAAGTATTGCCAAATGTAATTTAATATGAATTAAAAGTATTACCTGATTTCTTAAGGAATCATTATCATTGACGCTTTAATATACTGTACAAGCAGTCATTTGATGTTAAAGTTAACTGCATATAATGTTGGGTTGGTATTAATGACAATGTATTGTATTCTATAAAATAATCATGTATTTTGTATTTTTAACCAATAAAGTAACTAATAAATGTAACTGGTAGATAAAGATGTTGGAATAAAAAGAGGAAGCAAACAAAAGTGTGCTTAAGGCAATTACATAAATGTACTCACATTACATTTCTACACTGCTTTTATTAGTTGCTTATTTATTTTGTTGGTGTTTAAAAAAAGTCCTATTTGTCTCAAATACAAATACATACTTTTGGGCCTTTCAATAAAGCAACATTCCTGAGCTTGAAAGAGCGGTTTCATCTTTATTTTTATAAATAATATATTTTAAAAGTCTGCTTGCAATAAAATAATGTGGAGGTTTCTGCTTTTCATTCTTGTCTATCTGACTTTAGCCAGATAATCAGACTGGATTTAAACAACACAAAATAAATGATTCAGAGGTCTGGAACAACACTAAAGGAGACATTGCATTTTTGAGATAATCCGGTGGGGTTTTATAAAGCTATTCAACCCACAAGGAGTGTGTAATCCTTCTGATAACATAAAAATCACACAAGGTCAAAACAATCTTGTGTGTGACGACAAAAACATGAGTTATCTTAGCCAAACAACAGGACACTGTTCAATTCACTGCGTGTATTGACACTGTATGGAACCATGTACTGATAAGCTTGACTCAAATAAACTACAACAGAGACTAGGAAGTCACTAATCTTTGTGAGGTCAATACAGGTACATAATGTCTCTCTCCAAAGCTGAATAAAACACACATTGTAAAGAATCTGCCAACAAAAGTGTGCGCTAATAATTATAACACCATAAAACCAATCCCAAACCAGTCTCCTTTTATGTTCCCCACAAACAGGATGGCTGTTGAGGAAGCTCCTTCATTCAGTGCTCTGTTGTCTGCACTGAAAAGCCATTGTTTTTTCCCCCTCTATGTTCCCAGTCATCTCATTTTAAAAGCTCCACATGCCACCTGTGAAAAACACTACCTCTCTGCACTGGAATTTGGGGTGGGTG